TACAGCCAGTAGAGAGTGATCTGCAGGTGAACCTGAATTAACAGCACCAAAGCCAGGGTCAGCTGAAGTTACCTCCCATCGTGTCTTCACCCGGCCATCTCAAAAGTGACAACGCTATTCAGCAAATTTGGTTGTTCCTACTGCCAAATTCTACATTCTGTTAACAGAATCTAAGCCACTTCAAAGCTTCTTCACATTTTTTTCCCAAATCACTGCAGTACAGGGATACCCTCACTCAAACAGAAGTTCATTCAAATATGGGACAGGTATTTGGACGGCGTAATGTGCTGGTCCCCGCTATGCTTCTGTGAAGGTTCTCCAGAGGACTCACCTTCAAATCAGCCTCCAAACTGAAAATTCTGGACAAGAATTATGGGCCCTGTGGAAGCCAAGAGTGTTGGTTTCAATGCAATTGGGATTTTAACACTGCAGTCTGGTTTGCTGCATGAGTGGGACGCAGTGATAGGTAAGAACTTGAGGAGGCATAGTAACAACGTGGCATTGGATGCATATTATTAATATTTTATAAAGTGGATTTATGAAAGAGTTGAAATACAAAACATAGAAAGTCATGAAAATCGCAAGCAGGCAGAGTTTATTTAAATAACGTGTGAAAGTATGCAGAATCAGCTTACACTGTGGTTTTCAGCTGAATAATGGTTTTCAGCTGAATAAAGCCGTGTTGTGTCATCCGAGAGCTACATGGCTTTACAAGTACTGGTCACTCCTTTTGAGACATATGTTTTCAACACTCATGGTGTATTAGTACAAAATTCTTCATTGCAAGAATATTTTTTCAGTTTATTTTCAGTGATGGAACATGAAAGACTCATTTCCCATTTAAAATAATGTACACAAAATTAAAAATGTAAAGTGTCGAAGAACATTTAACTTTGAAATATTGTTTTTTCAAAATTATTTGTGATGCAACAAAGGAGCAACTTGAAGCCTGTGATCTCTTTCTTAAGTTGGAACTGGCTGGCAGAAAATGCAGGAAGCTGAGACGGAAACCACCCTGAAGAGGGAAGGCTGTTGGGTAAGAGGGATGTATTTAAAGAAAAAAAAGTCTTTATGGACTCTTTGGATAACTCGACCCATTTGGGTTTTGTTTTGGCTTTTTTTTCTTTGTTTGGTTTTTTGTATAGTATAAGAATGAATTTGAGGAAACACTATGTTTACACCCAAATTAAAGATAGACCTTCTGCTGTGCAGAAAAACCGGATTTAACATCCCACATTTCCTGAATGTGCTCGAGAGGGCCTGGGTCAAGTGACACCAGACCAGGGACACCAGCTGCTCTCTGCGCTTCAGAGTGACTGGGAGAGCTGCAAGGGTGCCAGACTGGGCGGCTGGTACATCTCTAACAGAATTGGATAAACAGTGCACAAACGTGTATTTTCTTCCATTTTTTGCACATAGGCTGTTGGTGGTTTTTGGCAGATCGGTCTCTTAGCTGAGGACTGATTCTACTGTAGTCCTTGGGCTCGGAGCAACAGAAAGGTCTCTGTGCAGAGCCCCCCACTAGTCCTTTAA